CCCACGTGTCACCCACCGCACTAAAATGACATCATCCTCGTTGGCGAAGGTCACCACGCGGCGGCTGTCGGGACGGGGAACAGGGAACAGGTGCTTCAGGATGGTCCCGACCTAATGGGATGGGGACAGGGACGGGGACAGGGTCACCCCAGCCCTGGGACCTCCCGTGCTCCTCCCCAGTGTCCCCATTTCCTCCCCCATGTACCCCAAATTCCCCTCTGTATCCCCTCATATCCCCCAGCTGTGTGTCCCCCATGTCCTCCCCATATTCTCCATGCCTCCCATCCCCCCAGGTGTGTGCCCCCCATGTCCCCTCCTGTCCCCCCCACGTTCCCCACGCCCCCCCGACCATACCCTTTTTCCCAGGGTGGAATCCAGGCGCAGCAGCAGCAGGTGGGGGGCGGCCAGCGGGGCCCCCCCGAGCCCCCCAACCTCCTGGCGCAGCACGGCCCCGCTCAGGGTGAAGTGGGCAGTGGGGCCGTGGGGCAGGTGGGACACGGTCAGCCCGTCTAGGGGGTGTGGGGCTTGGTCAGGACACACCCAAAAACAGGCCACACCCCCTTGGGATTAGCCCCACCCACCCCCCTGACACCTCAGGTTTTGGATTTTCTATTTTTCACATTTTGTGCTGCTTTAGTGTGTGGGTTTGGGCTGCGTATTATGGGGTGGTGAGCTCTCTGCACAGAGCAGGGAGACAAAACAATTCCTTCTCCAGCTGGGCACCAAGGACAATGATCCAAATCTCAGTACCAAAATATAAACAATGTGGGCTGGAGAGAGGAAAAGAAGGATGGGACTTAATGGGTTAAAGCTAAAATTGGACAATTAGCGCAAATATACAAATAGACCAAAACTAATAAAAGTGTAAGACCCTGTGAATGGTTATCCATTTCGTGACCATTTTGGTTCATTTGGGTGCAGCCCAAGGTGGATCCATTGCGGAGATCCTTTTAATAAATCCCTGCTTTATTAATTAATTTTGTCTAACTCTGCTCTAGCTCAGCCTTCCCAGGGCATCACCCTCAGCCCCTCCCCTCCAAGCAGAAACCCCAAAAGGTGACCCCAGCCCCTCCAGCAGCCCCGCCTGGCACTGACCGGGCCGCCCGCGGGTCTCGTGCAGCACCAGCAGGTCGGTGACCCCCGCGGCCCGGCACGCGCCCACCAGAGCGCCCAGCTCGGCACGGCCCCGGTTCATGCGGCGAGCCCCCGGCAGCAGCAGGCACAGCTCCTGGGGACGGGGACACGGGGACACTGAGCCACGCCCTGCCCGTGTCACCCCTTCACCCAGCGTCCCCCCGCTTGTGCCATTACAGCGTCCATGTGTCCCCCAAATCACTGCCCCCATGTCCCCCAGATAACCCCCCAAATCCCCCAAATCATTACTCCCTGTATCCCCCAAATCACGTCCCAGTGTCCCCCACATCACCTCCCCCATGTCCCCCAGATCACCCCCACATGTCCCCAAGTCTGTCACCCTAGCACAGGGTGACAATGACACACCCATCCCCTGGCCCACCTCAGAGCCACACCCAAACTCAGCCCAAAGCCCCACT